AAATACAAAAGCAGGGAACATTTTCTATGTTTGCCCTTGGGTGTAAGGGAGCAGCTGCCCACTGAAGGTGTTGGTGTGCCACAGACAGTGCTACACTTAGTCGAAAAGAAGATGGATTAGAAAAAAGGGGATTTCTGAAAGCAAGAGGCCAAGATGTGCTGACCAGCTGACTAGACTGACGGGCGCCAACCAAAACTCGAGGCCTCTGCTCGGGTGTTTGAAGAGCCAACCGTGTGCTGAGGGAAAACGTACTTAACTCCAGTCCCCTTCAGCACAGCAGCGCTTCTCTTTATTACGATACCGAGCGGCAGGCCACACGGCACAAGCTCAAGTGTTATTCCAGCTAGGTAAATACAGCACACAGATCTGACAGCGGTGAAAGCATTAACAGGCACAAATTGAATTATGCTGTTGAAATTCCAACACGGTGTGTCTTGCCAGCCCGCGCTGAGGTCTGACCGATTGAAATCTCAGTTTTCATTCGCTCACAGGTCGATTAAGGATTTCTATAGACAGCAACATACACAGAGGACTTTGTTTACGGGATAGGAAACTTTGGCTAATATTCACTGCATGTTCTCAAATAAGCAAATAGAAAATTCTGCTTTTACACCAAGGCAGAGGTGGTATTGTATTATTGTATTTAAATTCTGTTTACTTTTTCTCAATTACATTTCAGAGGGACATTTTGCACTTTTTACTCCACCTGAACATTTGTTTTTCAGATTGTTTGCCTTTATTTGCCAGTGGGCAGTAGAGAGAGACAGGAAACAAGGTGACAGACAGAGGGCCCATGACATGTAGCAAAGGTTCTTGGCTGTAAATCGAACACATGGACACTGCAGTTGTCCAACCATTGGGGTGCGCCACTTTTACACATTTATATGAACTAGAGGGAAACAGTCACCTATTTGGGGTGACTATATGATCACATCAAAATTCACTGTCGCTCTCCTTCTGAATTTTGTTGACATTAGCTCATATAGGTGTACTAAAATGACCAAAAACATTCTGAAGTGGTTATAGTAGGCCTTTGGCTTCATGGACCAGCTTTCTTGTCCACTTTCTCCCCTTGGTCGATTTGTCTTTCCTTTATTATTTTCTTCCTCCCTCAAGTGTTTTTCTTTCCTCCTGTTCCTTCCTCAGCTGATCAGAAAGCATGAAAACATTTTTCTCCTGACAGCCAATCTAAACTCTACTCTTCTTCACTTGTACTGTTTGTGATCTTGGAAAAGGTTAATCACTGTCACTGCTAAAGTAGTCACACACGTTCACAGCCTGGTTCCAGACTTCTAAATAATTGCCCACATCTCCAGTCGGCTAATTAGAGGTTTGTAGGCAGAATAAAGAATGGGGGATGTCATCTTCCTACATAGCTAACTAGTTACCTAGGGTAAAACAACCCCCTCTAATGTGAACATCAATGTCAGGCTGACTGAGTGAAGAGAAACACAATGGCAAATCAGTCTGATTGTCAGGCTACCCCTTTTGCTTTATACAGAATAATTTGATTAATTACTAATATAAAAACTATTGTTTAGTGCATCTGTACATAAAGGATTTTTGTAGTTCCTCTCCTACTGCATGAAGGGAAACTATTATTGCAGGGCTGTTTCCTTCTTGAAATTTATCTTGGATCACTCAGAGGGTCATCACACATTTGTGCTGGAACTGGAATTTCAAGAATTCACTGAGGACTTAAATGAGCATGTCTTGTCAGTCTGTATCCTGAAGATGATAACACCTCGAAGAGCCTGAAGATGAAACACTTCTTTTAGATAACTGAGCCCTCTACTAACAACGGCAGACGTTGTCAGAGTTGGTCTCGGGGTCAGGATGTGACTGCAGGGGAAGAAGAAAGTAAAGAGGGGAGAGCTGATGTTGGATCTGGCACTACATCTCAGGGTGATTTGGCAAAAGCACAAAGCATGAAATTCCCACAGACAGTGACATCTCCTAAGTGGGCGCCCATCTGAGCTGCGAGACACGAATGCAGGGTTTCCAACTGAGAAGAAAGAGCGAAAAAACACATTCATGTCGGATCAACATATCTGCAGAGCTGGTAGTCATGGAGATGCTTAGTTAACATGTAATCACAATGTGATACAGAAATAGCAACACTGGCGTTCTGTGTGTTGTTTAGGAGAGACAGAGAGGGGGAGGGCGGGGATATTAAACTACATGGTCAGGATTTGAATCTGATCCCCGTCCAGCTCACACTCGCTTCAGTGACCACACATAATCCACAATGCTAATGTTGTGTGAGCTCCTTACGCACTTTTGCTGTGGGAAAAAATCATAAGCTATTTTTGGTGTAGAATAGAAGGACGTGTCATTTCATATACTACCCTGAAAACCTATTACTCTTAATCAGGTAATCATGTAAACGAGAGAAACATACTGTATTTCATTCATTCATTTCATTTTAGTTGTGTGGTTGTTTTGTCTGTGCTCTTTTTTCACTGCTTTGAAAGACTAGCTATTTTGGTAAAAGGTGAGGAGCTATTTTCATGGACCGATGAGAATTTAACAATATAAGAATCAGATACAGTCTTTGTCTGAAGTCACTCCCTATGAATGAGTTAAAGTCTGAATAAGATCTAACTAAGGATGTTTTTGCTGTTATAAAGAAATGCCTAGTATTTGTTGTCTTACATGTGAAATGTTTGAAAAACACTTCATTTTTAATATACATTTGAAATGGTAGATTCAAAAAATTATTTCCTAGACTTTACCTCTTTGCTCACATCTTTGTATCTTAGTTACGCTCCATGAAAAACACTGCATAGAAACTCAGCGGAAAAAATTGTGCCAACTTTTAAGTGATGATTTAAGAACCTTTGAAGAGGAGGCTATGTGTCAAATTCCAAAGTATGAATTACTTAGACACTAAGTTATAAAGCCAATTCTGTACTTTTAAGTAATAAGAGCAGTGAGGCTGTGCTGATGTCTGATAAATATCGGCATGTTAACATTGTCATTTTGACCATGCTTACGTTAGCCTTGCTCTGCCTAAGTAGGGCTAGAATGGCTGTAGACTCATGACAATATAATAAACTACTGTATAGTATGTACATTTTTGAAATATCCTTTTCTTCTCGTACTGCGCTGTTTTTCCTTCCTTTTTGTATTTCCTACTTTATCCATGGGGGAAAAAAGATTTCTTCTAGAAAGGTCTTGGTGATTGCCTTACCCCACCTCTGATGAAACATCAATATCACATTGCGCTTTTGTTTCAGCACGTACTACAGTACATGTGGTATTTACTGCCAACATAATCACAGTTAAATCACTGTAAAATAATGGGCACTTATTAGTTTGCGTGGCGTGACGAGGCACAGTTTGACAGTCTAGTGTCCATAAAATATTAATTTGATTTCTGACTGTGCTTCATGCTGAGGTGGTTGACTGTTCCAGACACTCTGGCTGACAGTGAAAACCCCTCTGCTGTTTCTCAGCAACAGTTCTGTGTCTCATATCCACAGTAACAAGCAGCCAGTGTTAAATTTAGCAGGGTATAAATTGATATGAATAAACGATATGTGATTCTCACTGAAGAAGTGAATCAACAAGGTTACTGAGCCATTTAATTTATCCTCAAATTGTTTTTTTCAACCCAAATTATGAAGTGGTTCCTTGGTTTGGCAGCAAATTATGTTCACCTTTAGAGTGAGCTGTAGCACATACTCTGTCAAAAAGTGAGGTGATGTTCAGCTTTAGACAGACATGGCAGGTTGTAGGTGAGCGGGAAACAGAGAGCAGTACAATCCAATGGAGTTACATGGATTTGTCAAAAATACTATGAAAATAATTAAAAGAAAAGATTTTCACATTAACATTAGGTTTACATCTTATAATCAAGGAATGGGCTTTTAGGATTTAAAACAACTATGCATTGAGTATATATGTGGACTGCCTAAAACTCTCATATTGATTTTATTAATTGATGGTAACGGTAATAATACGCCTACTCAAGTCTTTCGTAAAATTGAAAACACAAATAATAAGTAAATGTTATTCTGGCAAACACAATTTTTCTCAAACATGGGAGTTCATTCTTGACCCTTGGAACAGTATGTAGAGTATGACTAATGGTCCACTTACTAGCTTTTTTTGGAGCTTTCAGCTGCAATCTCACAGTTTTCATCAGCAAATTGAACTTGCTCAGTTGTCATAACATAACCTGGAACTTGGTCATGTGACAACAGGTGGTCATACAACTCCCCCCTCATATGACCACCTTTAGTCTCTGTTCAAATATGGTCCGGAAGGAGTTTCATGATTTGAAATTGTATTTTGTTTTACTGCTAGACTTTTGTCACTTTGAACTGAGCTCTGCCTTATGCATTGGAGGAACATGGGAGTTCAATGAAGGGAAAAATTGCAATGGACTTACAATGTTACTCCAGTCGCCACCACTACCATGGCTCAGCAGGACAGATGTAACAATGGGTGATGATCGAATGGAACAATCAGTAGATGGATGTAAAGACATTTTACCACATGATCAGATGAAAGCAGTGTCATCTCTGTTCACTTTAATTGCACCTCAGGGGACAATGCTTTCACCCACAGCTGTCTCCTGGAGATGTGCTTCTGTGCTCACTTGAAAGAATCACTTCACCTTCCCATCTGAAGAAACCTTTTATAAATGTGGCTGATAAACTAGTTAACATATAGCCAGCCACTGTCACATATTCTGAAAAGACATACAGGCCTACGTTTTCAATCTAACAGAATCCTACTGATGAAGAGCCAGTAGCCTACTGCTTTCTATCCATTTGGAAAAATTAAGATAATACAAAGGCATTTAAAATTTCACATTTGAATTATGTGAAAATTCTGATTTGATCATCGCATTTTAATTACAAAGGATTAAATGCATGTGGAAAAATACAATGTGCAATTTTAATATAGTTCCTTACCTTTGGTTTGTTTGGTTTTGAAACAATACTATGTTTTGACAAGATACTGGTGCTGGATATAAAATATATGATTCTGCACTTGAATATAGCTGAATAGGGCAAGAACAGCAGTGGTGATGAAAATGCTTTCGTTCCCATTTACTTTCACTTGTGATAGGTTTCATGTAAATTTACATATGAAAAGCTTGTTTGTTTCTTTAAATGAAATGGGACATTAAATATGTGATTTCTGTCTTCTTTTATTTTATAGGCTTTATCTTACATTATTTTGTATATTTTTTATGTTTTTGTCTGGAAATAAGAATCGCCGTCGTTATGGCGACACTTCCGTCAACAGACTCCGGTTGATAAGTGGGATTCTCGGCAGGTACAGAGGACTTTGGCACATTCAAGTCAAGTCGAGCAGTCATCCTGGTACTACGATGACCGAACGGCCAGCCACTGTGGAAAATAATGTTGGAAAATGTATGTTGCGCAACTGGGAAGAAGAGGTGAGTGTAGTTAAGGTTGCGAAGTTAGTCTCGCTAATGTTAGCTAGCCAACTGTCCGTCCAGACTGCATGACACGTATGTCTTTAAACAGAAGAAAATAGAACATGTACATGGTGGTATGCTGTGTTCTGTGACCTGGATCCACCCATGGTTAATGTTAATGTGGCTGCACAAGTCAAAATGCTGTGTGGAAGGTAGTAAGTAAGTAAGTAAATAAAGTTTATTTAATATAGCCTTGCACCTTTGTGCATGTGTATTGCCACAACAATAATTTTTTTGTTTTGCTTCATTTAGTTTTATTGTAACTATTTATATAGCTGTTACCAAAAATGGTGAGCCAGTATCCACTCTATGGCCTCATCATCACCTTGTGTGTGTGTGTGTGTGTGTGTGTATCCATCCCCACCTAGAACAAAAGATAGAAATTTTAGACTATCAGAAACAGGTGTAGTTTGTGGTGTGTTTTAGTTAAATGGTACCTTTTATTTGATTCTTTTTTTTCTGTCATTATCTTAATGGCCCTGGGACTTTTCTCCCTGCATCATTATGTTGAAAAGTAGTTTATAAAAACAGCTGACACATGCTTATGAAAGGTATTCTATCCTATTTTCTTATTAGGTGTTCATACACACAAGACAAACACAGATATTTTGAATAGAGCTATCCAAGTTCCCAGAGAAATATGTCATCATCATCAATCATGGAAAACAAAGAAAAGCAGAAAATCTTTGCATTTCAGAGGTGGAAACCAGCGAATATTTTAAATTTTAATTTTTTTTTATTACCTGTCCTGCTAAGCAGCCTGGTATAGACTATGAGGAGCTGGTTACCATGTTGTACCAGACAGATTTTACTTTAGTATTTATTTAGTATTATTATACTCCTTTGTTTGTTATTTATTAAATATGTTTTTGGGCCGGACAGGGGGGCAGAAATGGGGATGGGGGCACAAACACTGCACAAACAGACAACACAGAGAAAGGACAACACCTAAAAGCATAAAGAATAATTCTACCTGTGACAACCAGGGACCTAAATTTGTATGCGTGTGTGATATCTTCATGTGAGTGCGTGCGTGCGTGTGTGTGTGTTTAAGCCTGTTACAGAATGTAGTTGTTAGTGAGAGTGGGAGTGGGATGTTTGTTCATCTAAACTCTGTCTGTCCATTTATCCAGAGGGCCGTTGCAGCTGTTGACACTGAGGAGTCGAAGACACAAATCCAGAGACATGGACACAGAGGGATTCTCACTATGGACCAGGAGTCTAAAATGGAGACTGTCACTACGCTTAAAGCGGCTTACATCCCTCCGAAAGGTCCAGGTGTGAGGCTGCGGGGTATGTATCTTTGTCTTCTTTGTCTTTCACCAGCAACAGTATGAACCTATTTCTGCCCATACATTTAAAACCCATGTACAGACTGGACATATATTTTAGAAGAGTTTATTCAGGCGATGTATCTTAAAGAATATGACACAGGTTTCCCATAGACACTGAAGGCTGCTTTGACTCTTTTCAAAAATTTGTTTCAGATTTTTATTTGACTGTTCAAATCTTTTTTTAGATGATTTTTCTGTGCATGCTCAGTTAATGTCTTCTTTTATATTTCCATGGTTCAGGCATCAGAAGCGAGCTTTTGGAAAAACATATCGCCCAGATGATAAGGTAAATCAACTGTGAAACAAGTCCTTTGATGCAACATAAATTGTTGCTGGAAGTTCTTTGTTTATGGAAATGGAGAACGCCGGCTGGCCGTGTTTCTTGAGGGGGAAAATGATGTAATACACGTCTGGGTTTGTTTTACTGTTCAATCACAGCTGTAATACCCTTTAAATCAAATTTTATTATGTTATTTTGCATGGAGGCCAGTCATCCTAATGGGGTTTATGGAGTCTGTCCCCACACATCCCGCACAAGTTAACTGCTCCTGAAGAATACAAAGCATCATGTCTTCGATGCAAACGGCTCGTCACGCATTTGACAATGTCTCATCACTCAGTCTTGAGCCATGAACTAAATTCCCTGGACTTTATAAGTACACACACCAACGTTCCTTGATTCATGCCGGTTTGGACCTCTTCTCTGTGTGGACATGAACAGACGGTGCTTGACTGGTATCTTCTTACACCTGTTAGAGCTAGACATCTTCCGCTGTTACCGTTTCTGTGGACACATGATGGTTAACTTAATCGTACGTGTTACTATTCACGTTGTCAAACCATCTAAATAGCCTAAAATAGCAATTTTTATTGCAAGTGAAGTGAAAGTGAATTGGTCTATGTCATTTCGCTAATTGAATAAATTTTAGTCAATATTGGATATACAGATCCACTTATACAGTGAGACCATGAACATTTTAGATTGGGAGTAACATTACACCTGATTTAGTTACGTTGTTATTGGTCTGCACATGCTGGTTTACGTGTGATGTGTTACGGTGATGCGGTTTCAAAACAGCCTATAGCATCCAATCACTAACAGATATCCAACAGAAGGGAGTGACAGTCAGATAAAAGATGTCCTGTAGGATGGTTTTATGTTTCCTTTCTGATGGCTCAACCCTCATCAATCCTGAAAGCAGAAAAGAGCACTGGTACGTCCTTAATGATGGCGGATGATTTCCGGATCACACGAGGCTCGAGGAGTGGTCAAATTATCTATAGTAATTCTTTTTATACTCAAGTACCTAAAACCAAGTAAAAGTAACCAAGCACATTTACTCAAGTAAAATTTTGAGGCACTTTACTTGAGAATTTCCACTTTTATGCTACTTAGGCTGCTATATTGATCATCCACTACAACTCTATTATATATAACTCTACTACAACCTTTTACTCCACACAACTCTATTATTACTATTTATTTCCCATTTTCAGATTAATAGCAAACAACAAAATGCAATCAAAGAAATTATGAAGCATTAGTGTAGGTTAAGATAAGACTTTATTTACTTTCACAATTCACAAGCTACCCAGCAATATATAAAGTATTTAAATACAGTGATGTAAACATTAATGCAGCAATTATTGGAATTCAATAATATTGTCACGGGGTGCAAGAGAGTGCAATGTGACAAATATATTGAACTTTATTTTGAAATGGGTCATTCTACATAATGACTACTTTTACTTCTGGTAATTTAAGTATATTTTTATGCTTTTACATAATTAAAATTTTGAATCCACGACTTAGAACAAAGTATTCCTACACTGTGGTGTTGCTACTTTAACTGATCTTCTTCCAACAGTGCCGAATGCTGAGGCTGATATCTTCCTGTTTTCACAGTGAGAAGATTGACGCTGAACGGAGCCCACCGACTCCCAAAACTGACTTCTGCTCCACAACCCAGCGGGATTACTGCGTCGAGGGATTTGTGCCTCTTACCCCTGAAATAACACAAGTAAGTGTATGTGTATAATACTCTATGTGTGCATGCAAGTTCAGTGATGAACAGTGATGAGCTCAAATATCCTGTGTTGAATCCAAAACAACATGTTGTTTATTGTTATGTGCCTAAAACACAACTTCGGTATCAGGACATGCAAATGTAATGCCCAGTATGTTGCACCAGGTTGATATTTGTATGATTCATTTCTTTGTTATGTTAGCGTGTGTTTTCATCTATTTTACATATAATTGCTTTTGTCAGTTTGAAATTACTAGCCAGTGTTGAATGAATGAATGAATAAAGTGAGTGCAGGGCTGATTATGCACTTAAAAGACTCACTAAAGTAGACATCCATTGTAGTGTGAACAGGCATTTTTTCCCCTCCTGCCAGTCAACCTAATTAAAAATGTAAAAGCTGACTACACTGTCAGGGATCCTGTAGAAATTCAAAGAAAGAAGCTCAGTGCAATTAATATGCAGCTGTCTGCATTTATTAGGCTGCTGGTGTGGTAAACCACACCCATCAGCCATAACATTACAACCACCTGCCTAATTTAGTGGAGGTCCCGTCTTTTGCCGTGAATGTGGTCTGTTGGATCGGACCACACTAGCCAGCCTTCGCCCACCACGTGCATCAATGAGTGCTATACATCTACGTAGAATGTTAACTGATTCTACTTTTATTGTATTTTGTTCTTCTTTTTATATTCCTCTGTGCTGCTGTGCTAACTTGAATTTCCCTTTTGGGGGATTCATAACGGAACATCTTATCTTTTCTTTTCTTAGCCTCCCATGACCCTGTCGCCTGTTTACTGCTTTTCCCTCCTTGGACCACTTTTGATAGGTACTGACCACTGCAGACTGGGAACATGCCACAAGAGCTGCAGGTTTGGAGATGCTAGTCTAGCCATCACAATTTGGCCCTTGTCAGAGTCGCACAAATCCTTACGCTTGTCCATTTTTCCTGCTTCTAACACATCAACTTTGAGGACGAAATGTTCTTTGCTGCCTAATACATCCCACTCACTGACAGGTGCCATGGTAACAAGATAATGAGTGTTATTCACTTTACCTGTCAGTGGTCATAATATTATGGCTGATCGGTGTATAATCATCATTAGTCTGATAGTATAAACCACAAACTATCTTGATTGTTAGAAACCCCTGTTTTGTACCCTGTTCTGATCTCACTACTTTTCTTTGCTTGTACACACCTCTTCACTTTATTGTAACTAAACTGCATTTATAGAGCACCTTCTTTCATGCCAACAGTCAGAGAGCACAGGCTGCCATGCAAAGTGCCAACATGCTCATCAGTGTCTTGCTCAAGGACTCTTCGACACTCTGATCGAACCAGGAACCGCTCTGCCTCCTGAGCAATGCTGTAAACTCAATACTTTTTTTCCAGGTCAACATCCTGTGGGAATAATTTTGCTTTGATCCTCTGAACTTAACCTGTGCCATACCGGTTGCCATGGTGATCTTCCCAGTTTATAAGTGGACCAGCTTTGTGACACCGGTTAAAACCCAATGATTGCTGGTAGACCCACTAATCTCTCACTTTGTGATTGGATAGGTGTGTTTACACTGCAGGCAAAGCAATTTTCTGCCTCGTTTTTGTAGCATAAATTTGAGTGTTGCCATGTTTTAGCAGTTCGGGTCTATTCACCCCCAAACAACCGCCAGATATCACTGTATTTTGTACAGATATAGCTGTAGTTGTTTGTTTATGTGTCTGTGTGACCACTCAACCTCTGATATTATATATATTCATCATTAGACATTTTTTTACATGATGACTCTAAATGTTGTTGACCTCTGGGTGCTGCTTCCAGCTTCTCAAATGTGAAGACTTGCGGTCCCCCCCCCTCTGTCTCAGATCAGTGTAAAGTGAATCATTCTGGGTTTTGACATGTTTTTCATTTTGTAGAAAAAGGAAATGAGTGATGAGTGGTTTATATATATATATATATATATATATATATATATATATATATATATATATATATATATATAAATTGTCTTTTTTTTTTTTGGTAACAATGCTTCAAAATCAGGAGCAGAAAGAAGACAATCTAACTCACAATGGCATTCTTGTTGTCTCATTTCCAGGCTCATGATTATAAAACTGACCAGGCCATCACATTTTGGAGTGAAAATTACCAGCGGATACAGGTGTGTCAGATTGTTCCACTTTTTGGACATGGGGTGTCATGTTTTGCTGTTGTCATTACATTTTTGTTTAGGTAGACACTAAAAAAAAACATTCATGGGCCAAAAGGAATATACGATGAGTCATTTTCTTTCTCATGCTGAACTCTGTATGTGCCTAGTGTCTGAACACTAAAAATAACACTAATGGCACCATTTAATGTGAGAGGACAATGCAACAACATCAGCAGCTCTCAGAAGTGCAAAGTGTCCTTCTTTTTAATTTTTCGCCAGACTTAGCCTTACTAAACACACGTCCTGCACAGTAAGATCCAGGAAAATGATTAATCGTGGTTTCACATTATTCATGCGCTGTTTTGTGTAACAGGGTGTGACCGCCGTACAGACCCCGACCGCACCTTTCAGGAAATCGGCCCTGTTCAGCACTCCCATCAGTGAGCGGCTGGATGAACTCCAGCTCCCATCTGATAACTGAGGCAGCATATCAGATCATCACATTACATCACTTCATTACCAGTTAATATTAAAGTCCTAATCCACTTTAAAGGTCTCTGTCATTCTCAACGGCAGTGATACCTCCGGTGTATAAAGATATAAAGATGTTTATTAAAAATGAGATGACAGTTTCAGTATCACTGTCTGATGAAATACTGACATTTGGACTTTAAAACCTTCCAAACAAACCATCTCTGGACTTAATAAAACACACCACTAGGTTTCTGTTGTACAGATTTGCAGAGAAACATTTGCCTCCATGTTTGGATCCTAAAAATAATAATTTACTGTATCTCTCAGCACTGTGTCTAACTCTGGTCGGTACTGACCCAAAGCATATACAGTGACACAGTGCAGACCACAGCCAGTAAACAAGTGAAAGAATGAAGAGATGTCGCAACATTGCTCCTCGTTCTCCTTTCTCATCTTGTTTTTTCTTGACCAGATAATCCTGACGTTCAGTGTACAGTTGACCTACTTTTGACCTTCCTCTGACATATTCATCTCCTTTGGATCTCTGTAGGTGTCACATGCACTACCAGTCTGCTGCTGCCACTGATGTAAATATTCACCATATCATTTCCAGCACATCTACGTACATAGATATATCTAAGTGTAAGCATTATAACCACATGTAAATGCTTTCGTGAAGTGGAAACAGGTTGCATTAGTAGCAAAAGTGGGATTTATTTGCATGGAATGTCTCTGAGCATAACTAGAAATGTAGAAATATAGAACCTGTCACTATTAGAGTATCAACATCGGCGGCTGGTTGCACCAGCTTGTCTTAGACTCAAAATGAATTTATTCGGAAGTGTGAACAAGGTGGAGATTTACAAATCACTAGATTTAAGATGGGTTGCATCACACAAAGTAGTTCTTGCATATTAGTTGTTACTAAATATTTTCCCAGAACTAACTGACAAAACTAGTTTGCTACAAAACCAAATACCGTATATGACCCACTTAAAGTAAGTAGAAGACAGAAAAATATAGTATAAAGAAATGCTGTTTGAATAATTGTTTTAACTAGCCTTACAAGTTTTGGTTCTGGTTTTAGTTTGGAATACATTTTAAAAGTACAGAAGTAAAAGTAAACAGAAGTTTCCCAGGAACTGATTTGCACATTACTGTCTTCTGTAGCTGTGGCAGTCCTTATGATTTAATGTAAGAACTTGTTAAGGATCTTTCACACAAACTTGGATTTACAACAAGCTGTCTGGGGTGTACCTTGTCTCTCGCCCAATGTCAGCTGGAATGGAGCTTGCAAAGAATAAAGCAGGTTTGGCTATGCGTGATGGAAGGTGTGAGAACAACCACGTCATGCTTTCGAAATTTTGATTTTTCTTTCAAAGTTTCAAAATTGATTGTTTTGTAGCTGGACTGTTGTTTGCACTTTTTCTTTATGCTGCCTCTGTCTGACCAGGGAGCGTGCTGTATTTACAGGCTCCATTCATCTCTTTCTATCGCTTCTCTGTTGCCTTTTGAAACCTCCTATTATTGTAATCGAATGGCGCTGAGCAACAAAAAGCCACTCTTTCCTTCTGCACCGGATAAATATCTTGCCATTGTCCTTGAAGAGAACAACAAGAAAAACCTATCAGGACTCAGAATAGCACAGAGCATGTTCTTCCACCTTTACAAAGACGTGTGCTCACAGGCCCACAGCATGCAGATGTGAAACACTGTGCATTATATGGAATAACACAGTGTTTGCCACAGATTCACATGTGTTCTGTCAATCAGAGGACAATTCAAGGCGCTGCTCATCCTTTCTGAGCTTTCAGCAGGGATTAGTAGGCGGTAGCTATGGCGACAAGTAATTTTAGCTTATATTTATGCAGCTTTTTCTCTCCAAACATTTCATTATCTCATGGGATGATACAGGAAAACCAATTTGCCCCTGAAACACGAGGCCTTGAAGCAAATTCAAATGAAATGCGACACAGCAATTTTCACTTTTGTTTCCCCACTTTAATTTCAATTCTGTCTCTGTTGTTTTTGTCTCTCTATCATTTTGGTCTTTTTGTGGGGGGGAGAGAAAAAGTCAGCCTTCAAACAGGATGTGCAGGGGAACCTACTGTATATGTGCGATGGAGTTTCCTGATCTGAACCCTCAGATGACCCAGTGAGCACTGACTTGGTCAATTCACCGCTGCTTCAACACTATTTAACATAATTTCAATGTGAAGCAGGTCCTAACTAGTGTAAGTTTGTGCCTCTCACGTATTGCCATTACATTCCAGTCACTGAGCTAAACATCCAATTTCTCTTTGAAAAATCCAGAAGGCTTAACAAGGCTTACCTCTGTTTTGAAGGTATTTCAAGAATCCTTAAGACCTTTCTACCATCTGGATCAAAAAAATAATAATTATGTCAGATGCACAGTAAAACCCTCTTTTTCTAAGTCGCCACTCTATATCCTAATTGAAACATAGATTGTGACGTGAAATGACGTAGACTACAACAAGCTGTACAAGCCAGCCCAAATTAAAATTCACTATATTTGTCTATATTAATGCTGCGTTTATTATATATTATATTATATATTATTTATTATTTTATATCTTCACGCACAATAATGCATTCATATTATTCATGTTTTTTTCAAATTGAGCAAGGAACTATTTCACTATCTACTGTCTTTGTTTGATTTAGGAAGTAGGCTAAAGGTGCAACTTGGCAAAGTGGTTACTGTTTTTTTTATTGTACAGCAGATGGTTAGAAGAGTCAGAGGATTCTGGAAATACCGTCTTGGTTTTGCCAGGAATACTTCAAGTCCTCTGCCACATGAAAAGGCAGAAAATAACAAATGACAGCATGACAGACAGCCTGGTCAGTTGTGAGGAGTTGGCAGGTCAGCGCGGGATTCAGCAGAGACCTTTACTCTGCTTGCTGTGGCTCTAAAAGGCACCGGCGTTGTGTCACTGTTGGAAAGTGGGCGGTAATTACAGCCGATGCAGGAGGGGAAGATGTTCTCCTGCAGAGATGAAACGCACAAACACAAACACACACACACACACACACACACACACACAGTGCCCATGCCCCTGTTTCACAACTGATAATGAGCAGGGATGTCATTACAACAAACACACAGCTTCCTGCTGCCGACTCGCTTTTCCCCACTTCCTTACTTATCTGTCTACAACTGCTTGCAGTTAATTAGGTTCCAGACACTTGATGCTCTGTTTCTTCCTGGCACATGTGTTATATTTTAATAATATAATAGTCCTGGTAGTATCGTGAAATGTAAGGCGACAAGGCTAATGTATGTCAGATAAACCTGAACTAATTGTCCCAGTTTGCGTGGGGGGAGGAGAGCGCAGCTGATTTTTAGTAGAACATGAAAATAGAAAATAACATCAGATGTTCCTGAAAGTTAGACTGCCCCTCTGCTGAACTGGCTCCTACACTTCTACATTAGCTCTGTGAGCACTTCCTGCCTTTTAAATGTGAAATTCTAGAGGGACAGCCAATATTTCAGTGTGGGGAGGAAGGATAGCACAAGGTCATTTATAAATTCTTTCTGGGTTAAACTTAGATGAAAACATTTGAGTGACTATTGTCAGGGGAATATGGCCCAGATATATTCAGAGAGTTCACACTTTAAAGTTAGTACATAAATCCTGAAGGGCACAGACTCGCTAGGGCTCTTCTATGCCTTTCTCATAATTTCTGGATGCAAATATCAATAACTAACCCCACTTCAAAAAGCAAATGTATAAAAATGCTGCCTGACCCATAAATGGAAAAAGAGTGTTTTACTCAGTTTATTGAACAAAATATTTTACAGTATCTTGGATATACATATATACATATTATCTTGTACTGTGTAGCACGGTTGATGAACCCCTGCAGTGACATCAGTTGTAATGCTGTGTCTCCGAACTTCAATGGATGTTTCAAGGAAATATTAATACATCATTGACTTCCAAACACATTATACAAATCTTAATATAGAAAGCACAAAAAATAAGAATTTATCAGTGAAAAGTACTCACTCTCAAGACAGAAAGGTTCCTCATACAAAAAACAACTTTTACAATTTTTTTTTCTTTTCCTTTTTTTTGCAGCTACAGTATGCAGGTAATAAATATACCTGGAATTCCCTCTGTTTTTTATTTTTTATTTTATGGTGTCGTTCTCCTTTCCTCTGCACGGAAATTACCAATAAGGACTTATTCTAGAACAAATAAAGAAGCGGCTCGGCCACCGGAGCTTCTGCTGTCGTCTCCACTGCTGCTGCCACATTATTAGCAGGCCTCTCAAATAACATACACATCAGTCTTCTCCCCAAGAAGCCAATACGTTCTCATTTTGCCTTTGCCCTGGAAAAACACAGAGATCAATAGGTTCATCAATGGAGATCAGGGGGGTCGGAGGCGGGGGTGATATCTTTTATTAGGCTGCCCTTCGTTTAAGAGTGAGAGTGGTGGATACTGCAGCTCATCTTACACCTCCACCTTTTCCCATAAATGAAGCATAATCAGAGTTAAATTCACCACATCATCGCACTACTGTGAAAACCTTGTTTCTCCAAAAGATCAAAATGTGTCTCGATCTAATTCTGAAACAATCAGTGCTCTAAGTCAATATTTTATCAGCAGAAAATCATGAATCATCAACTATTAACCAATATTCGCTGTTGAGGATACTATATATATATATATATGTATATATATATACATATATATATATACATATATATATATATATATATATATATATTTTTTTAAACTATTATCTGACAAGGCCATAACTCGACCCACATTTCCCTGGAACAACCTCACACTGCCAAGTAATGCCAATTAGACACGGGAAGCTCACATAATATTTATTAATTGAACTGTTCAGTTGTATTTTGTTGTTGGTAAATTGTGTCTTCCAACTCTTTAATCTAAGTGCTGTTTTAAAGAGGTAATATTATGCTTTTTGGCCTTCTCCCTCTCCTTTATTGAGTTATATACCTTTTTTGTGCATGTAGGTTTGCAAAGTGAAACAGCCTCTGAAACTCTTGCTCCAGTCCATGTTGCTAAGCTGGTAAGAGGAACACATACAGTTGAACCGAATCCTTGTTTAAAGAAGATTTTGAACCTGAAAATGAGCATAATATGACCTCTTTAAAGAATTCTCCATGCTGATGGGAATGTAACTGTGGGTGAAATCCCTGCGTTGTTTTAATTTTACCTTTTGTAACTTAACTGAAATTCTTTAAAGATTTTATCACTAAAGAATATCTGAATAAGCCTAATACCCGCTGTGTTTAATGTACAGTATGTAATTGCTAAATGTAAACTCTTCCTCCGAAGGTTGTTAAAATCCCCACATTCTCAAGAACACTAAGAAATACTGAGGATATAACCTAAATGGTAGCTACTCTCAACA